AGTCAAGCATGGAGAAACTGTTGATGTGGAAGAAGAAGAGCGTCATGATGTTCTCCATGAGAGACGTAAGCGTAAGGAGTTTGAAATATTTGTTGGAAGTTTGGACAAAGGTGCGACGGACGAGGACTTAAAGAAAGTGTTTGGTCACGTTGGTGAGGTGACTGAAATTAGGATTGTAAAGAATCCCCAGACAAAGAAGAGCAAGGGTTTTGCTTTCCTGCGTTTTGCAACTGTGGAACAGGCAAAACGAGCTGTTAAAGAGCTTAAAAACCCAATGGTAATCGTCTACACTTTAGTATTTGATGGAGAGTTTGTGTAGATTTACATTGTATATCATCCTCTTGGTCATTGGGACTGCAGATCAATGGTAAAAAGTGTGGTGTAACTGCAAGCCAAGATAATGATACCCTCTTCATTGGTAACATATGCAAGACATGGACCCTAGAAGCTGTAAGTATTTGGGTGTCCGTAGATATGTCAATTAAGCCCAATTCCACGGTTTGTGGTTATCTTGACCATTGGGTCTTTGCTGTTGTTCCAGTTGAGGGAGAAGCTGAAACACTATGGCGTTGAGAATATGGATGATATAACTTTGGTAGAGGACAGCAACAATGCCAGCATGAATAGAGGGTATGCCTTTTTGGAATTCTCATCTCGCTCAGATGCCATGGATGCTTACAAACGCCTTCTCAAGAAAGATGTGATGTTTGGAGTTGAGAAGCCCGCAAAGGTTTCTTTTGCAGATTCCTTCTCAGACCTGGAAGATGAGATAATGGCGCAGGTACTCACAATGCAGGATCATTTATTTGTTGCAACTTTCATCCTACCATGACTTCTTTAGAGCGTCAGAGGAGTTTATAGGGACAGGCGTTGGTGCCACCTATTTACTTAATAGGATTTTTTTTTACCGTTTTTGGATGGTGACTTAGATTACTTTTTTTGTTTCCTTCTGGCCTCTAACGACATACTAGATACTGGATTATTGGTTGTTTGTGAATCTATCATATCTATCTGCTCGTAGTACTTTAGTTTCACTGATTTTCTGCTGTTACAGGTTAAGACTATCTTCATTGATGGCGTGTCACCGTCATGGAATGAAGAACGTGTTAGAGACCTTCTGAAAATATATGGTAAACTTGAAAAAATTGAGCTTGCGCGCAATATGCCATCAGCCAGGAGGAAAGATTTTGGCTTTGTAACTTTTGATACTCATGAGGCTGCTGTGAATTGTGCCAAATTCATCAACAACTCAGAGCTAGGCGAAGGAGAGGATAAGGTATGCATATTTTTAATGCCTTATCCTTTATCCACAGAAGCATTTTTGTTGCTGTCTAATTCCTCTTTTGTTTCCAGGCAAAAGTGAGAGCACGCTTATCTAGACCACTTCAGAAAGCTGGTAAACGTAGACAGTCCAGTCGCCCAGACCGCCGGTCTAGGCATGGGAGTGGACGGTCTGGGAGGAGTTCATTGGCTCGTCTGCCACCTCGTAGCCTTGCTTCTTCTCGGAGTGCTAGAGGCGTTGGATCTCGGGCCCCACCTCCTAGTGCAAAGAGAGCTGATGTATCAAGAGGAAGACGGCCACGCCCTCCTCTACCTCCGCCTGCAAGAGCCAGGCCCTTGCCACCCCCTGCTAGGTCATATAACAGAAGACCTCCAGGTACCCCTAGATTTGTTGTTTTCCCATGTTAAGTTATCTTTTTTTTTCTTGAACCTCTTTTGTTGTTGATGTATTTGATCATATTATCCAAATTGTGTTTTGCAGTTCCTCCGTATCCGAAGCCTAGCTTGAAGAGGGACTATGGTCGGCGTGATGATCTTCCTCTTCCAAGAAGCAGACCAGCTGTGAGCTATAGCACCAGACTTTCTCCTGAGAGGCATCTGTCTTACAGAGATGATTATGTACCTCGTGGTTCTGGTTATTCAGATATTCCTAGAAGTTCTTCTCGCTCAGAAATGAGGAGGCCGTTCATAGATGACCTTTACAGTCCAAGATTTGAAAGACCTCCAAGTTACAGTGAAGGAAGATCTCGTGCTTATGAACCTCTTCCTGGATCAAAGCGTCCCTATGCTGCATTGGTCTGATTTATTTCTTTCTCCAACCATTTTGTTCTCTAGATTTTTGAGCGTTAAAATATATATATGATTGTTTGCTTTAACGAGTGTTTATTATTCAGGATGACGTTCCTCCCCGTTATGCTGACGTTGATGTTCGTCATTCGAGAGCCCGTCTTGACTATGATCTAGGCCCATCTCAATATGGGGAATCCTATGGGGACCGGTATGTTCTCCTTCTATGGATATCTTTGTTCATCTCTGGTTGCAGTTGTTTTTTTGTCAGGTGTATTTTTATTTTCTTACTTTCATGTTTGGTGTAGGATTCCTAGATCTAGTCTAGGATATGGAAGCAGCCGAAACGCTATGTCAAGTCATGACTCGCGTGGCCCATACAGCAGTCGTCAGGGAATGGATTATGGAGGAGGTTTGATTCAGAACTTTTTGCTGTGGCTTTTAACATAAAGCATTACTTCATTGAGCTGCAAACAATTACATGGCTATAATTCCACAATGTTGCTTTTCTTCAGGTTCTTATAGTGGAAGCGATGTAGGAGGAATGTACTCATCAAGCTATGGTGGTGACATCCCACCCAGAAGAGATGTAAGTGGGCTTTAGAATCTTCATTTTTTTTCTTTAAAAGTTAATTTGTGTAACATATTATTATTGGATTTGCAGGGAGGAGGTAGCTCGTATTCTTCAATTTACTCGAGCCGTGGCTTGGGTGGCAGTAGTTACTCAAGTGGTGGTCCAGGATCATACTACTGATTACTGAATGTGAGTGAGTGTTATAAGATTTGGTTCCTTCAATTTTTAGCTGTCTTTATTGCATTGTTTTGGTCTTCTTCTTCACGGTATGTAACAAATGTGTTCCCCCAAAGTAATGAAGTTTGTAAATGGAACAGATTTCACATTGCTAAAGAGGAACTTTGGCCATGCAAAGCTGTGATGAAAAGAAGCTACTGGCTGCAAAAGAATTAAGCCAGCTTCGGTGAAGACTGTTGTAAGTTTTAAAGACATGTGGAAAATGGAAAATGAATGGCGCTTGCATCTTCAACTGCATTTGGCGCTCTTTTTCGGATGCGATGATAAGCTCGAGTTTTATAGAGAGATGGTTCCTAGTTACTTTTTTTTTTATTTAATCTATCCCCCCTCTCTCTTGAATAATAGAACAAATTTGTCGAATGTGTTTTACTCTGCGAAGGATTTAGCTGTGTTTGTATTGATCCGTTGGTTTTATAAAGGTTTCTTATACAAGAATGTGTTGAGCTTGCTCTGTTTTGCTGTGTGTGACAACTAAAAGATTCTTCTGTTGAAAGAGAAGGCAAATGATAGGTTACTCCATTAATGACACTTTTCAAGCTTTATCTCTACGGTCAAACAATGGAGAATTTGGTAAAATCAGACATACATTAAAGCTCGCACTTTATACACAATTTTAGACATGACCAAGCATAATACATTACTGGTGTTAGAAATATGCTTGATGAGCTATAAAAAGCTCTTTTAATTTCTAACAAATCTAAAAACACACATAAATTTTTGACCTTTGATCAAGAGTCAGTAGCTAAAGAAGAAGATAC